ATTACTTTATTAAACATTTCTTTCAAAGCGCATGCATAAAGCATACGTTACGCTTAGTCGAAATTAGAAAATTGCGACCAGAAAACTATTTGATGTGTATTCGCGATATTTATAATGACGAGGAATTTGATTTAGCCCTTTGTGGCTCAGGGTTCCACTACATGGAACACCAAAATTGAATCGCTTCTGAAACCTTTAAATTCAACCGTAAATAGATAAAAATGCCTTTATAATATACTTTGAACTTTTCTTTTTAATCCTTTGATGCGTGCAATATTATTTTTATAATTTTTTTTAACTAAAAACTCTAGAAATTGAATATTATGATCCTAGAGACAAATAATATATGAATTTAAAAAAATCTACTCTTGCCCATTGTTCTGTGGGTGGTGGTCGCACTGTGAAACAACCGCGCGTCTAGGACTTTGAAACTTACTGATGTAGTAGGGGAAGAAAACTTACCATTTTCTGCGTGCGTTTCCAATAAATGACGAAATTTACAGATTTAAAAAAAATGTATTTAAGAATTGCATTATATATAATTTTTTTACATTATTTTACAAAGTAAATCGTCAAAAAAATTTAAAAATAAACATTTTCTGTAGCAGTGAAAATATGAGGACCTACATAATAAGGACATTTGGATAAATGGATTAAAAAACTCAATAAAATAAGGATAAAAAAGAACTCAGTGTTTTTTTTTTAAATTTCAAAGAACAAATCTTTTTTGTGACACTCTTCAAAGCATGTTTTGTCTCTTTGGTACACGCATAGACCCACATTGCACGTTTCGCACATACATCTTGTTCTATGAGGTTTCTTCCTTGTGCTACAAAATGTACACTGCCTGGATTTAAATTTAACTGGCTATCATGTACAGCGTTATTTAATTTCTTTTCATCTGGCACATGAAATTTGTGGTTTTTTATGTTAATTGGGGAAGGGCTTGGTCTTTTTGGCTTTGTACGGATCGTTCGTTTCCCATTCATATTATGTTTTATTCGTATTTTTTGTCCCAAAATATTTCAGAATAAATTTTTAATTTAAATAAAACTTCTACGTGATTTCTGTTTTTAATTATGGCAAAGTATATTTAACATTAAATTTTAACTGCAGGAAATAATTTATAAAGTCACAATACTAGCTTGGGGAGCAATTGTGTTGAGGTCAGAGGAAAAGTATTTGGAAAAGAAAGACCTTTTTACTGGGCAGGTGCATGTATTGTTTAGTAATAAAATAACTCTGTGTTTTATTAACTAACTATTTTAACTAAGTCCTTTATGTATATCCAAGTAAAAAAAAACATTCCTATTTAAAAAGCAAGCGAACGCCATTGAGAAGCAAACGCCAGTGGTTTCAAGGCGCGACCACCGAGCCTCTAGAGGATTGTAAGCATTCTGACACAATGCTCTAGTGGCGCAGTGGTTGTGCCCTGAAACCACATAGCAAATGCCATATATATATAGAGAGGTTTTTTTTTTTCATATATGCAGTTTAATTACTGCAATTTTTTACTGTTTATGATAGAAATAATGATGTGTGATGACTAACTTTTGAAATTTAAAGTTGTTTATATTAATAAAAGGAAGTTATTTTGTCTCATCGAAAACGAATTTTAAAAGGCATTCGATCTGAAGTATTAATACCTAAAACATATATGATTCTACAGTCATTTTGTGTTTTGGGAAAAAAGAGGAGGAAAAAAGTCGGAAAATGGTAGTTTCAGGGCGCGACCACCGTGCGTCAAAGGGTTAAATTAGGCTTAACTGCTGAAAATGCGCGGGCTGGTGGCGACGATCCATTTCAGCGGGTCCAGTCCTGTGACTGCACTTTATTCTCCCCGCGCTGGTCCTTAAGGGGTTAAAAAAACTTATTTAAATAACATTTGTATTTATTATATATAATATTTGCATGATTATTTGAATATGCTCAGTTGAAAAAGACTGATATTTAATTTATGTCCGCAAGATGTCGAAAAAGGACAGCATAGGCTTTCATTATATCTTCCAAGTACAATGTTCTTAGAAATAAGATATTTACATGGAGGTATGTCATTAACAATCGCATTCCGCAAAGTTAACTTCCGTGGAGAAAACTGGTTGAGTATAAAAGTACACATAAACCTAAATATTATTGTAAATAAAAGGAAAAGGGAAACAAATGTTAACTGGACGGATTTCTATTACTGCTTAATAAGTAGGTATATGATGCAGTAGACAACAATAGAATTCCAAATTTGGATGTAGATTTTTATCATGAGAAACTAACTTGCCAGAAAAACCAATTTCAGATGTTATCACCGAAAAAAAAATCTTTTTAAAAATAAATTTCAGTCAAATTATAGTTAATTTATATTTATTGCATAATATAAAAAAGTGAAATGTATAAAATTTAAGAAAATATAACATGCTGAGGGAAAAATACCTTAGACATGCAGTTCAGTATGATGCAGTTCAAAAGAGGGGTCAAGGCAAAGTCCAACTTCACAGTCTTTGCACCAGATTCAATAAATCTAATTAGTAATTAAATAATTTAATTAGATAATCAAGATATTCGCTGAACATTTTCTAGCAGCCATTTGTGTAAGAAAAAAGCGGCAAAAAGTGAAGTTCGAGCGCTAATACTACGTGCCTTCAAATACCGCAGTTTAGTGGACTACTAACGATATCTGTTAGTCAAAAAACGTAAACTAAACGCCTAATACTGTATATAGTTTATTTCAATGGTTAAATGGGAGAAAATTCGGATGCACTCCTGAATAAAGGAAGAAAAACATATGCCCGCGGAAATTGCGAGATGATCAGCCAGAGGGTTAATAAATAAATTTAACACACAAAATGTTAAAAAAAGCCCTTTAGGATGTAATTTAAAATCTGAAACCTTAGATTTTTTTTTTTTTTAACTTTTATATATATATACATTTATTTATATAATGTATATATTATATATTCATGATTTTTTGTTTTTAAGTTTTGTTGCTTTATAATTAGAGCTTTTATTTTCAAAAGAATTAAGAACATAAATAAAAAAACGGCAATGAAGATTTTTATCGGCAAATATCGCCGAGGTAGTCATCATAGTATGCAAGTACTGAAAATGATGCTAAATAATAAAGATAAAGAAGGAAAAGGAAAGTGCATTAGTAGGAGATAGTGCAGCAGTAGACTGGTAGACCATGTGCTCAGCAGTATATTAAGCCTTAACAAACCCTTTTAGGCAGGTGTTAAAATCTGAAACCTTTCAGGTTTTTATTTATTTTTATAAGCATTTAAGTTAAAAGTTTAAAAGCTATTTTGTTTCGAAAAATAATTTTTTGTGTGCACAGAGTTTGCTGCAGTATTGATACATGCCATGTGCACTAATTGGTAAGCAGATATCCCAAATCACCCAACTAAGTGGAAGGTTCCTGGTTTTTTAGCATACTTTCACCAACCCAGTTTGCAAAATGTTTCTCGTAACTTTCTCATATTCCAAACATTTTTCATTAATTTAGCCTAACATGTTATTTTCCCCAAAACTCTGATATTTACCATCTGAAATGGTTTGCTGTATCTGTTTATTGCTCATTTTTAAAAGAAGGAAAAGTATGGATGGCTGTGAGTGTGGGATTAAATATTTAAAAATATCATAATCTAACTCTCCAGTGGGCTTCAAGCATATGTGCCGGTTATCTGGTGCACATTAGATAATGAACGCAGCGTACTATTGAAGCAGTTCTGCATTTCATATTTCATTAAATGGTGTGTGTCACATGCTTGCTGAAGTTGTTTAAGGATTTGTGTTCTTTTGTCACAGTTATGGCTATAGAAAAGGTAAACTACTGATTTTCTGTTTTTAAAATTTCATTTCATTTTTTTTGCTGGGGGGGAAGGAAATGTATATAAATTATTTTCATTGTATTATATGATAACGAAAGTGTGAAACCTTTGCGACGCATATTATTTGTGATTGACATTTTTTTACTTTGCATGTTAATAGCTGATATAATATAAAACATGTGCATACACAAAAGTACCCTTGTATTTTTTTATTCAATGTAAGTTATGTTGAGAAAAATAAAGTTCCTCTTTTTCTGGAAACAAAGTGCTAAATGTTGTTGATGCTATTCCTGTCTTTTTACTTAGCACAGTGTGCCACTAAATGCTTCTGATCACTCTCCGATTTTTTTTACCTCAACTAAGAAATTACTAAGAACTGTTTATGTGCATGCATAATAATGATTGGACTCTCTAAAGGTTTGTTTTTCTATAAAATATTTAAAGTAATAAAGATATTTTTAAAAATATATAAGTAATTTTATACTAACTGCATTTAAAACTTAGTGATTACGCTCTTAGATACTAATTCTATATTATTTATAATTTGTTATTAAGGGGAAAAAAATTTTTTTTCATTCTTTTAAAATTATTTTTGTACGTGGGAAAATCTTTTTGTTTTTGAGTTTAGCAGGTTAACATGTCATGATAAAGAATAATATCAGAAATCTGGACATTTTATTTGATACTAGTTCCTCTGCTGTTAATTTTTTTTGGGAAGGGGCGCAGCATATGGCATGAACTATAGAGAGTGACCAGTAATTCTCTCAGAAAGGAGCTAGGGATAAATATGTATTTTTCACAGTTTAAGGAAGTCGGAAACATTTAATTAATTAATTAATTCTTTCAGAAAGGGCTAGGGAATAACATGAATTTTGGCAGTTTAAGAATGTCAGAAACATCTACCTTATCCCTCTGTGTTTCATTTAACAATTTTTTCTGTTTATTATTTGTTTCATTTAACATGCAATATGTTTGATATAATAATTAGGTTTGGTTCTTTCAGGTTAATATCTGAATCCTGCTCTTTGTAATTATATACCTTTCGCGAAAAGAAAATTAATGTGGCGGAGAAAGCGCGTCTTTTATTTCTATTAAATGCATGACTATATGTGTATTGTGTTTATATTTTAATGTGCATGTGATAAAATTTCAATAATTCTAATATATCAGTTTATATTTTAGGTGAATCGAAAGGGTGCAAGTGTTCCACCTGATCCTTCAGTACAGCCCAATTGCTTATTTCCAGGACGACTTGGAAATTTTTGTACTGTACTTAATCGACTTGCACAGATACACGAGAAAGTATATCTTTTATTTTTATTAAATTCTCTCAAAAAGTAAACATGAATTTTGTTTGATTTTTTTTTTTGTAAACTACATGTATATTGTGTTTTTACTTTAATGTGCAGATAATAAAATTTCAATAATTCTAATAAATTATATTTTAGGTGTGTGGAAAGAGTGCAAGTGTTCCACCTGTTTCTTCACCTTTTCGAGTTGCCTCCTCACAGAAACATGAGAAAGTATGTCTTTTATTTTTATTAAATTCTCTCATAAAGTAACATGAACTTTTTTTTTGTAAACTATATCGTGTTTTTATTTTAACGTGCAGGTGGTAAAATTTCAATAATTCTAATAAATTATTTTAGATTTTAGGTGTGTGGAAGGAATGCAAGTGTTCCACCTGTTTTTTCAGGCTCGTATCCAGTAAATTCAGGATTCTTCAAAGACGCATGGGATTCTTAGGGAACACAAATGAAATCTTATAGGCTACAAATATGTGAGTCTTATGTCTGAGACTAGCTATATTTTTCTGTCACTGAAACTGTTTGTACAATAAACGAAGTTTATGTGAGTTATTCTCAGGAAAATAAAACAATATTTAATTTAGTGTCGTGGTTCTTTCCGCAAATCGTTGATGTATCTGTGTTTTCTAAATAGTTAGAAGTAGGATGCTTGATATGAATTGCAGCTTTGTTGACATTGCTTCCTAACGTCACGAGCACTAGGCCATAGAAAACAAAAAGGTGGAACTTCCGATAGCGGTGTTTTCTCCCAGCATATGAGTATCAATTTGCATAACATAATCCACTCTCAGAATAATCTAGAAACTATATTTCTGAAATAAAAAGTTATTATTGGAATATCTTTGCAAACTGTATTTAATTGATTAGACTGAATTTACTGAAAATTAAAATATATTTCTTTAATGGTTTATAATACTTTTGTGATGATACCTCCAAATTTACAGCTGGTAATATTTCATAAATTTTGAAAAATTTTGTGAGAAAGTATTTGTTCTGAAGCAGTTTTATCGCCTCAATAAAAATTATTTAAAATGGTTTAATTATAATTTTTTTTAAATGAAATAATTGTAATTCTTATTGCTTTCAGACTAGAAATAGGAAACACACTTACTACTACTATTGCACTTTTAATGCTGATGATCACATTCTTTAACATTAATCAAACAAAGCTTATATAGAAAATTAAACACTGACTTCATATTTATATTTTCTATCTATAATGTAATAAATAAAGGCAAAGACTTTAAGAAAGAGAAATATGATTGTTTTTAAAATTGCATAGCTTTTTTGAAACTATAAAAGTCATTAAAACTTTAGAATAGATACTAATTTAAGGTTAAGTAAACATTATTAACTTTAAATTTAAAATGAGAAGCTTTTAAGAACATTATTATAATTATACTCGCATAACAGTCGAGAGCAATGAAACTTGTTAAAGATGCATTAAAATTCTATATGTAATAAGATTTGATAATTAGTCCAGCAAGACTTGATTATCCTAAATATTAAATTTTGTTTCCTAAAATTACTAGTAGAATCTGAATTTTCAAATCATTCAATTAAAAATCAGTTTTAAGAAAACCAAAACTCCTTGATATCTCAAAAAATTTCTATAATATGTTATTTTTATCTTATTTGTATGTACGAAAGGAGATGTTTATATAAAGCCTTATTCGTTGAAAATCTGATTAAGGAAAAATGTTATTTATTAGTCTTAAATATACTCTCAACTATGCGGAATTTATAATATATATATATGTACAATATCTACTAAGTTTTCTCATCATACAAACCTCTGAAATTTTACATATGTATAATTATATACATACACAAAAATTAGTCAAAAGTAGTTTCCAAGCATACAATTTATATCTTAAATGAAAAATATATTTTGATGTGAAAAAACATGAGTATAAATCTCAATCCTGGTACGTAATGCACAACTATTGCTGTTATCTATATAAAATGTTTAAAATAATACTGTAAAATGAATGAAGTCCTTAAAATTATTTATTTACATAACACATTTAATTACAGTTCCATCAAATTTTAATGTTTTAAATGTAACGTAATAAATTAAATTGCAAGAGTAATTTACGAAGACATTTAATATGACCCGGTTGAACTGCATAAGACAATGGACGAGTTGCACTAACAGGATGGGGAAATACAAAATTTGATAATGGATTATTAAATAAAGATATACAGGACATATTAATGGAATTAGTGTTACTAACAACAATTACTTTGAAACCTGTTTCTTCAAGAGTGACAATTATTTTATTTATTTATTTATTTTTTCAAAACAGTGAATGTTAGTAAAACTTCAGCTCTCATTTTCTTGGATGGTGATATATGGACAACATCTTTAAAGTTACACATCACTGTATTTCAATTTTAAAAAATCAAGATGTTTTCTTTATACACAAGATTTCAAAATACAGAAAACCTATGTTCATTAAAATCTGAAAAAGGTCCTAGATTTATTATATTCAGCAGCTGATATTTTACTATCGGCAATAGCTTTCATGATACAATTTGCTTCTGTTTTCATTTTTTTTTTTTTTTTTTTCTCATTAGGACTTTCACTGCAACTAGCAGCTTGCAAAGACAGATATGATGGACAGCATTAAAGGGCATATTTCCTGTAAAAACAGTACAAAAATCAGTTATATGAATATTATAATACAGTCAAAAGTCTTTAATCTGGACGTCCATAATTCGGAATGACCTACAAACTTTCTGTGCATGCGTAAACGCATAATACGTTTACGCTTGCGCGTTTAACGTATAACGGACGGTATTAGCTAAGCTAAAATTATCTAATTATCTATTGCAGTTAATGTTGCAGTTTGCGTTGTTAATTAATCTTCAAATTGGATCCGGCTTATTATTTTTTTGCAGACTGTTAGAGCAATTTAATAAAAGTAAGCTTGAACTTTCGATTATGTCAAAAAGAATTTCTGATTCTGGAGCTGCCAAAGGATCTACAAAGCGAAAGCATGTTTCGATGTCCATCGAACAAAAAGTGGAAAAAATGGATAAAGGCATGAAGAAAGTGACAGAGAGATGTTTTGTTTCTCTAACCATTCCGAAATCTGTTTATCAATTTCACGCTGCTCTGAGGGGTGGGGGTCGTCGCATTGCGCAATGAACTGGAAGTTGATTTGTCAGCACTGTCCTCATCTTCAGGGCAGATGTTTTTATTTTATTCGGCTCATAATTCATTACTAAATGTAGTGTTTCATCTTGATGTACTCCGATATGATTTAAATCAATTTCCTCATCTTTATAAATATCACGAATATGCATAAAATAGTTTTCTGGTTGCAATTTTCTAATTTCGATTATGCGTAATGTATGCTTTACACATGCGCGCGTTGAAAGAAATGTTTAATAAAGTAAACAAATATATATTAAGCTTTTCTTTTTGTAAATTTTGATACCCTTTAGATCACAACTGCTCTTTATTTCATAAATTACGATTTAATATTTTTAATTGTATAATTTCTGCATGCCATCTTACGAGATTTAAACTGATGATCTATAATCCGGAATCGCCGAAGTCCCGACGAGTCCAGATTAAAGGCTTTTGACTGTAATTTAAATTTGCACACTTAGAACATTGCATGATTATACATTTGAACTTCGATACACCAAAACCAACAGGAATGGTGGAGGATTTCAAATGTAATTTAAAATTCGAGTAAAAGAGATTTCCAGAAAGTCGCACCGGAAGAACACTTAAGCTTCTAATAAAGATATCTATTATATTTAAATTATTGCTGGCATCAATGATGATAATTTTTATATCTAAAACATGCTGAAATAATCAAATGAAAGTAATATCAAGCTTCAGATTATTGGGATTTAAATGCAAAATAATAATTCCAATATCCTTAAAAAATTAACTTGATTTTACAAATAAATGTTACTCATCTTTTGATGAGATATTACTCATGTTTAGAATATTGAACAGTAAAATGTTATTTGAAATCTGAAGAAAGACGTTTGTAAACTAAAAATATTTATGTGTTCAAATGAACTTACTGCCCTAATACTTAAATACATTGTATGCAAATACATAGCATAAATTTAAAAACAAAAAAATATACATCTTTCTTGAGTGATGAGTTAATATATAAATTCCCAATAAAAATAAAGAAATTTTTTTACTGGTCTATTCTTCAAGTACGGAATGCTTTCATTAACTTAGAATTTCCCCATTCCCATTTAATTTAACTAGATTTATTGTATAGTATAGGTTTACTTTAATTTACATTTTTAAAATTTGTCAAGCTTTTAAATAAATAATTAGGTTAAAAATTCATAAAATAGTAGCAAAATAATAGCTAAAACTTATAAAAGAATATATGTAACGTTAGATATTTCACACATAAAATGAAAACTTCCGTGCAGCACCTAAACAAAATATATTAAGTAAATTCCGAAATAAAGTTAATAATAATGGCCAATCTACTAATTTAATTTAGAAGCATCTACAGTGTAAAGAATATGAAGATAAACATAAGAGGTATACGTGTGTTTTTCGCAATTAATACTTAATTCAACATTAGTAATAGTAAGCAATTATTTCAATGAACAAAACATAAAATTGCATTACAATAAATAGGAACTTACCCAGTATTTCTGCTCCTCGACAGCACGTGCAAACATTCCACTCTATATTACAGGACAATGCGATGACTTCCTACTTGGGAATCCAAACCTCAAGAACATCATGTGTGCCGTTTAGCTTTCACATCACACTTGTTTCTGCAACCTTTCTGTTGGTTTTATATATTTAAGAAGCATTGGTCAAGGCTTTATGTCAGCATGTATTTATTTTTTAGATATATAGGAAATCTTTGAGGCATTATATAATAAAGCAATTTTGAGTGCTTAGTTCTTCCTTAGGATGGTATGTTATTCACTTGACTTACTGTTAAGAAGGTCATTTCTACAGATGTAAAATGTCATAAAAATTTTTGTCAGTTTTCTTTCCCTCTATAAAAGTGCAAAACTGTTTTCTAAAGTTGAAATTTTAAAAAGCAGGTTAATTAAAATTTGAATCACAAAATAAACAGATAAAGAAATAATATTCATTCTGCAGTATTATTATTGTGTGATTATGTTGACTAGTAGTGGATGACGATTATATTTGCTAGCAGTGAATGTGATAAAATAACGCTTATTAATATAAGCCATGTAGAATGATTTTGCAGGATGGAGACATTGAAAATGTATTTCTTGCAGCTGTTTTGGAGAGACTATGAAACGTTTGATGCCATTTGCTGGAGTATTCTTGATCAAAAGGAAAGAGTTAACATTAAGAAATAACAACTGGGTGATATTAAAAAATCTGATGTTAACACCACACAACTTCCTTGTTTGGCCCATTAAATTATACACAAATTTTGCTGCACTTAATTTAAAGTTATTTCCTTGAATTAATCTAACTTAATTAACTGATTCCTCAAAGCACGTTGAACATTACATAAAAAATCACAAATTTAGAATTTAACCCTTTCTGGTCATATTAAGTTTATATATAGGTATTGTTAGATATATGTTGCTACTTATAAATGTTAATGGAATTTTAGAAAAAGACAGTAAATGTGATGCTCATTGATCAAAACTTTGGTGTATCAGGAAATATACAATATATGCTGAACAAGGTCTATATATTTATAACTTATGTATATTATGTACTTTAAGTACATATATATCTATAACTAATACTGCGGCAACATTGTATAACATGAAATAGAAAACATGGTATTAGTGCTGTGAAAATACAAATTAAACCCAGTATAAGTTTGTATTCTAGTAAACAAACAAATTAAGTACAGGTAAATAAGAGAATAAAGCATAATGGATTTTACATACACATAACAGAAGTCAACCTCCCCCCCCCTTCGCAAACCCAACGTAAACAAAATTCCTAGAGCCCGCGGGGTCTCGATCTTCTACTGAAAAGAGGTGAATGGGCAAAATTTTGAATGAGCCGCTACAAGTTGAATCATGATTTTGTTGCAAAATTTTTTGAACTAATGTTTTTGATAAGACTATTCGATTTTCGTTTTGCCAACGTGCTTTAGGATTCTTAAAGTTACAATACAGGATATCATTTTCAATTGAAAAACTTGTGAAGGAGGTTTTGGAATTCTATTGTTTTGTAAATTTTCTTTTATTTCTAAACAGTAAGGATCTAGAGCTTGTTTTTCTTTGTGTGCATAAGACCAGGAGTAATAGAAGTTTGAATTTGTTCAACTACATTTACAGATCTGGATAAATAATTACTAGTCCAGGGGTTCCCAAAGTGTGTGCCCTGCAACCCTGGGGCACTGTGGCAGTACCTCCTACATACAAATCCAAGGCTCTAGGGTTGCTTGAGCCATGGGCCTTATAAGAGATACAGTAACCCAGTGGGCGGGGCGCGCGTCACCGACATGTCGGTAAGAAAGAGTAGGGACAATCTGGTTTACTTTAACACTGAATCGTATGGCGTTTCTATCACATAACTCTTTTTAATTACTAAATGTTATACATTGTATAGTATGAGATTATGAAAGCCACAGTTTTTTGCTTTAAAGAGATATATTAAATCCTCTCATTAAAGCACTTTTTAGTGCATTTCGTGCATTTTTTTCACGCTTAATTCTTGTACAAACATCTTTACTTTGGTAAAACGGTAAAAACTCTAGGCACAAAATTTATGAACTTAATTTTGCGTACAAATAATGTCAAATTAAATAAGATTCATGGTACGTGATGCTTTGAAATAAATTAGCTAAAATTAAACAAGATCTGATAATTTTTTTTATTTAATGACCATTTTCAGGCAGTGATTTTCAAAACTATAATAACATTACAAAACAGTCATTTATTTGATTGTATCATCGTTAACATACGAGGGCCATCCAGGAAGTAGATTACGTTTCCGTCTGTCCGCTAGGGGCGGGGCTAGCGCGGCCATCTTGGGGTCAGAGCGTTGCGCAGCTCAGTCTGCATCTAGCCGTGCTAGTGAGAGGTTCGTGCTGTGCTCCGTTCAGATACTGTGACGGTTTGAAATGTCTGCGTTAATTGAAAATCCCGCGAGCTGCGAGGTGCGCTCAGTAATAAGGTTTCTGACTGCAAAAAACTGTAAACCGATAGAAATCTATCGGCAGCTTCGTGAAGTGTATGGGGACAACATTATCACTGAAGGTGGAGTGCGTCAGTGGGTCATAAGATTTCAAAATGGCCGAACCAATGTTCACGACGAAGATCGAAGTGGGAGACCCAGCATAGTGACCGCCGAACTTCTCGAAAAAGTCGATGCTAAAGTCCGTGAAAATCGAAATTTCACAATAACGGAACTTTCTTTGAGTTTTCCACAAATTTCGCGAAGTTTGTTGCACGAAATCATCAGCGAAAAGCTTGGTTACCACAAGTTTTGTGCAAGACGGAAGGCAAGAAGAGGTAACGAAGTGGTTGAAGGCGCAGGCGGCCGAATTTTTCGACGAAGGAATTTCCAAGCTCGTACATCGCTACGATAAATGCCTTAATTTGTATGGTGACTATGTAGAAAAGTAGTATTTGAGTGTGGCTTTCATCTGTATATAATAAAATTTGTTTCCTATACTTTGTTTATTTTTTTATTCCAAAACGTAATCTACTTTCTGGATAGCCCTCGTATTAACATTAAAGTGGAATATTTATTTTAGAAATTTATAAAATTTGGAGTATAAAATTTTCTGAGCGTAATGAAGGGGGGGGAAAAAAGGTAAAATAAAATCTAGAAGCACTCGGATTTTATATTACGCCCAAGAGGAAACTTCTTTTCATTGAATATCACGTTCGTCGCCCGTAAACCTTATACATTTGAAAACAGCATATCTTTAGAATTTCCGCCCTGGAGATAAAACTGTTATTTGCCGTACAGTGCTCGATCTGAACTCGTTGAGTTTGATAATAAAAAATTCGTAAAAGTTTTACAAATTATGAAAAAAATTAAAACAAATTAAAAATTCGCCCATCAAGATGTCCATGTTCGGGTGGAGGATTACATTATTCAAAATTTGATGGGTCTAGATACTGTCGTTTTCATCAAGTGCAATTTTCATTCCTTTCCGGAGCTTCCTGAGTGTAGGCTGCTTTTTGACAACGCTCCGGCGTTTTTGCTGTTTGTAAGTATTCTGGTAAGTTTTTTTCAATACTTTCTTGCTGATTATTTCTTGTATTAGTGATTTATCTGCTAATATTATGTATGGCTTTACTTACAGGTGAGGCACCCGACCACGTGGTAGACGTTCCGCCGCGTGCTACGAAGAGAACGTTGGATCGAAAAGTGCCCCCGAACGGACAACGGGCTTGGTTTATTGTGTGCATAGTCTACCTTTTGTCTGTTGTGGTTTCGGGCCTAACTTCATCTAGATGCCAATCCTTCATAACTGCAGCCAATAAAGGCTGCGATTGAGAAGGAGTTTCCAGACGCATCTAGGACTTCTCTTCGTACCACTTCTCGGGTGACTCAATTGTAACTAAAGTCGTACTGTTAGCAGATAAAAAAACTAATGCAAGGAAATAATCAATAGTAAAGCAAGAAGGCATTGAAAAATACATACAAAAACACTTACAATACTTAAAAACAGCAAAAACGCACGAGCTTTGTTAAAAAGCCGCCTACACGCAGGAAGCAAAGTAAAAATAAACATGTTACAGGGAGGCAGAGAGACAGAACTATTAATTGCTACGCTACTTTTCACAGCAGATTCTCGGGATTTCACAAATGCAGTAATTCAATAAATATTTAAGTAGAAATTTAATTGAACACACACACATCTACATAAGGACATGCTACATACGTAAATAATAAATTTGAATTTAAAAGAACATAAATAATTTGAAAGATAAAAAATATGTTATTGGGAGGGAAACACATATATAAAGTTTAAGGCTACTTTCACAGCAGACTCTCAGGATTTCATAAATGCACGTGTCCTAACTCAATATATAATTAAATAGAAAATTAAATGAACACAGACACATCTATATAAACACATAAACAACATGTTAGAACTAAGGAAACACATATCTCAAATGTAAGGCTACTATTACAGGAAATTCTCGGGATTTCACAAGTTAACATGCACAAATTCAATAAATATTTAAATAGAAATTTGATTAAACACACACCCATGTATATGAGCAGCATGTTAGAAGGACTGAAACACGTATCTCAAATGTAAGGCTAATAGCACAGGAGATTCTCGGGATTTCACAAGTGAACATGCACTAAATCAATAAATATTTGAACAGAAATTTAATCGAATGTAAACACATCTATATAAATACAAGCTATATAAATTCATACGTGCTATGCATAGATACATATTGTTACAAATTTTCCACTTGCAGAGCAGCACTCAGATTGCTAAATACAGTTTCACTTTGTGTAACGTGCAAAACAGACGTCCATCCCTCATGCAGGTAGCCGTAGTGTACTTGGACATTGTTACCTGAACTAAAAAGAAAATGAATTTCTTATTTAAGAATATCTTAATGAATAAAGAAACTGAAACAGGATTAAAAAGTAAAAGAACGAAGTAAAGATAAGATATACGGAAATACAGAAATTAGACATTGAAGTTATGCATTCAGTGCAAAAATTGGGAAATAAATAAACGCAACTGTTGAAGTCCCTTTTAATCAAAAGTTCTTGATCATTCGTGAAAAATTCTCTTAAATTCACGTTCGTTCTTGTTCACAGAATATGGAATGTACAGGGAGGAAATGAGTTTGACACAGAGAAAGGAATGACAATTAATTTAAAACACACCAGGAAACATCTGCGCAAGTTTGACAGAGCATGCTGAAATCAGTAGAACTCACAATGACATGAAAACTGATTTTTAAGAGGTTCAAAACTGTAGAAAAAGGACGTGAATTCGGTACGAAACGGCAGTAACGAAGTCCATTTCAATGTAGCTTTTATGTTCGTCACACAGACGTACAGGATAATCGCAGTGTCGCTTTCTGTTTTTGAGAAAACAGAATGAAAATAGTATAGTTCTGGTGTTTCACACTAGGTGGCGCCACCAACTACCAGGGAAAGTCCAGAAAAAGTTTATAAATAGCGGTAATTCCCAAGTGCACTTTTCATTCCTTTCCGGAGCTTCCTGAGTGTAGGCTGCTTTTTGACAACGGTCCGGCGTTTTTGCTGTTTGTAAGTATTCTTGTAAGTTTTTTTCAATACTTTCTTGCTGATTATTTTCTTGTATTAGTGATTTATCTGCTAATATTATGTATGGCTTTAGATACAGGTGAGGCACCCGACCACGTGGTAGACGTTCCGCCACGTGCTACGAAGAGAACGTTGGATCGAAAAGTGCCCCCGAACGGGCAACGGGCTTGGCTTATTGTGTGCATAGTCTACCTTTTGTCTGTTGAGGTTTCGGGCCTAACTTCATCTAGATGCCAATCCTTCATAATTGCAGCCAATAAAGGCTACGATTAAGAAGGAGTTTCCAGACGCATCTAGGACTTCTCTTCGTACCACGTTCTCGGGTGACTCAATTGTAACTAAAGTCATAGTATCAGCAGATAAAAAACTAATGCTAGGAAATAATCAATAGTAAAGCAAGAAAGCATTGAAAAATACATACAAGAACACTTACAATACTTAAAAACGCACGAGCTTTGTTAAAAAGCCGCCTACACGCAGAAAGCAAAGTAAAAATAAACATGTTACAGGGAGAAAGAGAGACAGAACTATTAATTGCTAGGCTACTTTTCACAGCAGATTCTCGGGATTTCACAAATGCAGTAATTCAATAAATATTTAAGTAGAAATTTAATTGAATACACACACACATCTACATAAGGACATGCTACATACGTAAATAATAAATTTCAATTTAAAAGAACATAAATAATTTGAAAGATAAAGAATATGTTACAGGAAGGGGAACACATATATAATGTTTAAGGCTACTTTCACAGCAGACTCTCAGGATTTCATAAATGCACGTGTCCTAACTCAATATATATTTAAATAGAAAATTAAATGAACACAGACACATCTATATAAACACATAAACAACATGTTAGAACTAAGGAAACACATATCTCAAATGTAAGGCTACTATTACAGGAGATTCTCGGGATTTCACAAGTTAACATGCACAAATTCAATAAATATTTAAATAGAAATTTGATTAAACACACACCCATGTATATGAGCAGCATGTTAGAAGGACTGAAACAGGTATCTCAAATGTAAGGCTAATAGCACAGGAGATTCTCGGGATTTCACAAGTGAACATGCACTAAATCAATAAATATTTGAACAGAAATTTAATCGAACACAAACACATATATATAAATACAAACTATATAAATTTATACCTGCTGTGCATAGATACATATTGTTACAAATTTTCCACTTGCAGAACAGCACTCATATTTCTAAATACTGGTTTCACTTTGTGTAACGTGCAAAACAGACGTCCATCCCTCATGCAGGTAGCCGTAGCGTACTTGGACATTAATACCTGAACAAAAAGAAAATGAATTTCTTATTTAAGAATATCTTAATGAATAAAGAAACTGAAACAGGATTAAAAAGTAAAAGAACGAAGTAAAGATAAGATACACGGAAATACAGAAATTAGACATTGAAGTTATGCATTCAGTGAAAAAATTGGGAAATAAATAAACGCAACTGTTGAAGTCTCTTTTAATCAAAAGTTCATGATCATTTATGAAAAACTCTCTTAAATTCACGTTCGTTCTTGTTCACAGAATATGGAATGTACAGGGAGGAAATGAGTTTGACACAGAGAAAGGATTGACAATTAATTTAAAACACACCAGGAATCATCTGCGCAAGTTTGACAGAGCATGCTGAAATCAGTAGAACTCACAATGACATGAAAACTGATTTTTAAGAGGTTCAAAACTGTAAAAAAAGGACGTGAATTCGGTACGAAACGGCAGTAACGAAGTCCATTTCAATGTACCTTTTATGTTCGTCACAAAGACGTAAAGGATAATCGCAGTGTCCCTTTCTGTTTTTGAGAAAACAGAATGAAAATAGTATAGTTCTGGTGTTTCACACTAGGTGGCGCCACCAACTACCAGGGAAAGTCCAGAAAAAGTCTATAAATAGCGGTAATTCCCAAGTGCACTTTTCATTCCTTTCCGGAGCTTCCTGAGTGTAGGCTGCTTTTTGACAACGCTCCGGCGTTTTTGCTGTTTGTAAGTATTCTTGTAAGTTTTTTTCAATACTTTCTTGCTGATTATTTTCTTGTATTAGTGATTTATCTGCTAATATTATGTATGGCTTTAGATACAGGTGAGGCACCGGACCACGTGGTAGACGTTCCGCCACGTGCTACGAAGAGAACGTTGGATCCGAAAAGTGCCCCCCGAACGGACAACGGGCTTGGCTTATTGTGTTGCATAGTCTACCTTTTGACCGTAGTGGTTTCGGGCCTAACTTCATCTACATGCCAATCCTTCATAACTGCAGCCAGTAAAGGCTGCGATTGAGAAGGACTTTCCAGACGCATCTAGGAGTTCTCTTCGTAACGACGTCTACCACGTTCTCGGGTGACTCACTTGTAACTAAAGCCATAGTATTAGCAGATAAATAACTAATGCAAGGAAATAATAAAGCAAGAAAGCATTGAAAAATACATACAAGAACACTTACAATACTTACAAACAGCAAAAACGCACCAGCGTTGTCAAAAAGCCGCCTACACGCAGGAAGCAAAGTAAAAATCAACATGTTACAGGGAGAAAGAGAGACAGAACTATTAATTGCTAGGCTACTTTTCACAGCAGATTCTCGGGATTTCACAAATGCAGTAATTCAATAAATATTTAAGTAGAAATTTAATTGAATACACACACACATCTACATAAGGACATGCTACATACATAAATAATAAATTTCAATTTAAAAGAAATAAATAAATAATTTGAAAGATAAAGAATATGTTACAGGGAGGGAAACACATATATAAAGTTTAAGGCTACTTTCACAGCAGACTCTCGGGATTTCATAAATGCACGTGTCCTAACTCAATATATATTTAAATAGAAAATTAAATGAACACAGACACATCTATATAAACACATAAACAACATGTTAGAACTAAGGAAACACATATCTCAAATGTAAGGCTACTATTACAGGAGATTCTCGGGATTTCACAAGTTAACATGCACTAATTCAATAAATATTTAAATAGAAATTTGATTAAACACACACCCATGTATATGAACAGCATGTTAGAAGGACTGAAACACGTATCTCAAATGTAAGGCTAATAGCACAGGAGATTCTCGGGATTTCACAAGTGAACATGCACTAAATCAATAAATATTTGAACAGAAATTTAATCGAACACAAACACATATATATAAATACAAGCTATATAAATTTATACGTGCTAAGCATAGATACATATTGTTACGAATTTTCCACTTGCAGCGCAGCACTCAGATGGCTAAATACTAGTTTCAACTTTGTGTAACATGCAAAACAGACGTCCATACCTCATGCAGGTAGCCGTAGTTGTACTTGGACATTATTACCTGAACTAAAGAAAATGAATTACTTATTTAAGAATATTTAATGAATAAAGAAACAGAAACGGGATTAAAAAAGTAAAAGAACTAAAAGTAAAGATAAGATAAATGGAAATACAGAAATTAGGACATTAGAAATTATGCATTCAGTGAAAAAAAATTAGGAAATAAAAATAAACGCAACTGTTGAAGTAGTCCTTTTAATCAAAAGTTCGTGATCATTTATGAAAAACTCTCTTAAATTCACGTTCGTTCTTGTTCACAGAATATGGAATGTACAGGGAGGAAATGAGTTTGACACAGAGAAAGGAATGACAATTAATTTAAAACACACCAGGAAACATGTGCGCAAGTTTGACAGAGCATGCGGAAATCAGTAGAACTCACAATGACATGAAAACTGATTTTTAAGAGGTTCAAAACTGTAAAAAAAGGACGTGAATTCGGTACGAAACGCCAGTAACGAAGTGCATTTCAATGTAGCTTTTATGTTCGTCACACAGACGTAAAGGATAATCGCAGTGTCCCTTTCTGTTTTTGAGAAAACAGAATGAAAATAGTATAGTTCTGGTGTTTCACACTAGGTGGCGCCACCAACTACCAGGGAAAGTCCGGAAAAAGTCTATAAATAGCGGTAATTCCCAAGTGCACTTTTCATTCCTTTCCGGAGCTTCCTGAGTGTAGGCTGCTTTTTGACAACGCTCCGGCGTTTTTGCTGTTTGTAAGTATTCTTGTAAGTTTTTTTCAATACTTTCTTGCTGATTATTTTCTTGTATTAGTGATTTATCTGCTAATATTATGTATGGCTTTAGTTAAAGGTGAGGCACCCGACGACTCAGGCGAACGCAGTTCGCAATAAACGGGCCCCCGCGCGGATGCGCTATCCCTGAATAACATGTGATGGCGATTTTCGAGCTTCTGATTTACCATAGCATTGGTAGTTCCTAAAAGAGAGAACAGTGTATGATAAAAGAAACAAGAGTAGCATGGATAGGGACAAATAACATGCCGAGACAAATTGCATAGCTGAAAAAGTTTTCTGGAATAAGTCGCCGAGGAGAAGTTATCCGCCAGCCAGTAGCCGCGGTGCTCCGGTAAGCACGAATAGAGAACGAGGTGGGCGGACCACGGGAGAGTTCTCAGGTGGTCACCCACCCAAGTCCTGTCCCTGCTGCCTGCTGCTTAACTTATCGGCGCTAACGCCGCAATAAGGCTTCATGATCCTGGAGAAAAAGAGTTGTACTTGAAAAATTTAGTCGCTTGCAAGTTGAAAGATGT